TGCTAACAGAGCATAAAGTGGGGAATATAGAGAATTGACTACCAATGAAGTGATTGTTTGTGTGCGCAGTTGGGGGGAGGGGGGCGGGCGGGGGTACATCAGAATATTGCAGAGCCCTAGGGGAGATTAAGTAAATTTTATAGTGACACAACCAAATTCAAATTCTTGCGACCCCCCCTAGAGGTAATGAATGATAACCTGTCCTAAAGACTCGTGTAGATTGATAACTGTTCAGCAATTCTGAGACTCAAAGCCCCATCAAAGACGAGAGACCTACTTGTTTACCAGCGACTCTGTCCTGGTTGCTACTGATACTAGTAACATTGAGCAAATTGTAGATCACCCAGTGATCTGCTGTAACTCTGTCGGATTTAAAATTTTTGCCTTACTTCTGTAAACCCTCGGGGTCTAACCAGTCTGACTACTCTGACTAATCCGACTAGTCTAACTATTATAGCTAGTCTAACTGGTATGATCGGTCTAACTCCTGACTGCCAACACAGCGGATTCGATGCCGACACCAGGAATAACATTTAAGATGCATTTAATCTTTATTGACTTGACTTAAAAATCGACGTAATGAATTGTAGACCATGAGACAAATTGCATGACACTAAGACTTGAGTAATGGAAGCTGGATTGCTCACTTGATCTCTTTATTACATTTTTATTATATTATTTAGATTATTTGGGACACTCCTATTCAGGAAACACAAACTTTGGAAGGAGATGAACTTTATTCTTTTGTCCCAAGATGGAGTCACTTTGGACGTTGATCGCAACGTTGATGGTGTTCCCCCACATCATCATTCCCTAACACCATCTAACAACCGGAATAATATGAATAATGAGGATCGAAATGCACCAATAGCAGCGAACCAACGTGCTAAAAATAACGAAAGGTAATCAATCGACCTCATCGCCTGATGAAGACTAGGAGTATTGCAGTCGAAATGTCGGGATCAACATCCAAAGTGACACGTGAGACAACGAATAAAGTTCATCTATCTTACACCACGATGAACAATAGCCACATAATTATTTCATTACACAAACTTTGGTCTCAGAAAAATGTTCAATAATATCTTTGTATCCGTTACCTCAAAGGGAGGGACACCTATATTCCAGGGATTAGAACACTTTTTCTGGGTCCTGAAGCCTGGTTGTAATGTCTATTTTAATCACTCAAAATGTGACTGATCCCAAGATTAAGTGTACACTAATCACAATGACAACAGCTTTCACAATATTACCTTTTTTAATACTGCACATCATTTAATGACAAATATTTTTTTTGCCAAAGGATAACAATTCAGATGACGCTTTTTTAGGGGGATAAATTATTAACAAAACCCAACCTCTATGTAGGGGACACTTGCTCTGGTCCCAGGGTGTCCTCTGAATGGAGGTTTCACTGCAGTTGGAATAGGAAAATTATGTAAGGTTCATACTCCAAACAGTTGATCATGAATCTACTTGTTCGTGTTATGCAGCTGACAAAGCCTTTTTGCATACAATTCCTACAGACCTGCAGAGGGTGTTCCGGCATTGTAATGAAGTGTGGCTGTGATGTTCATGATCTTACCAATGCCATAATTCTAATAATAAAAATAGTGTTAAGGTTACTTCCCACCCTCGCGGGTGTCCTTCGGGAAAAACGTCGCTAGTTTCATTAAAATCCTAAGAAAATATATATAAGATAAAAACGTTAATAACTGCAGTTTTCGATAAAAATTAAATTTAAGCAACTTTTTATTCAAAGGAAGTGTCAGGAGCCGGTGAGGCGCGGAAGGACCGAAGGTTCTTCTGTTTAATTTATCGGGTATCGGATGCTGCAGCACGAGCAAACTGGCTGCATAGTCCTGTTCACAAGGCATCAACCAGCAAGAGTGTGTCAGGCTTTTTTCGATATTCTGATTGGTTGTCTAGATATCGGCATCTAAAGTTGGTGTAGCTAAAAATATGCGAGTCGTGTTGCATATTTCAAATATCAAAATTTTCCGATATACTTTCGTTTGCCATTATTCCTAGGATGTTTTGGCGAAATTTGACGAAAATCGGTCAAATCCATATACCCTTCATATTCGCTCAAATTAGTTGTATTCCTCCCAAAACCAAGATACGAGATGTTAACTCATAAAGGTTCGCAAACAAATCGTGCCACGCCAGGAGATTATATCGCCTCCTGAAACCGCAAACCGGGGTCAACGATGGATCGAGATTTCCGGGAAAAGTAACCTATTGCAGACACGTGTCTTTTTATCACCTCGATCGCTCAGTGGAGCGTTTAGGAGGACGACACAATAACGAGCAAAGTTGCCAAAGGCAAAGGAAAAACCCGCGGCAAAGATGGAAAAACCAGAAAAGGTGCTGAGAAGCAAGACAACGAATCGGACTTATGGCACCTTCCTGATTTACTAACTTTTATATGAAAATGCGTTTTTTCTAAAGAACTCGGATGCTTTTAAAAGATTTCAGAAATTTTTTTATGGAAACGTTAGGTTGAATATATAAATTCAGTTTTGTCAAATAAAAGAAAAATCGATTTTTGTGACCTCTGAAGGTGGGAAGTAACCTTAAAGGCACTATAAATTTCATTGGTGACAGTGCAAATACAAAAGAAATATATCTTTACTTGGTGGATTCTACCTCATGAAAAATATTTAGTGAAGCACGTTGCTCTGGGATTTCTTACTTCCCAGTGCAAGCTACAATAATTATTCTCTTAAGCATTGAGAAACAACTTAATTGGATTATAACAAGTCACTTCTGCACCTGCCAATCACATTCAAGTTTGGCCTAAACAAGTAACCCTCAAAATCAAAAACTTAGGACCATAATTGTTTTCTGGAATTTAATTTTTGTTTTCTGACACCTTATTGGGACATACAAAAATATATTCCATAAACATTTCTGGTGTTTACACACAATTTTCTGAGTTTCACAGTAATACAGTATTAGAGATAATTAAGTCTATCAATTTCTCCCTTACTTTAACAAGCACTGGCTGGCTGCAGCCATCAAAGATAACCATTTTTTTTTCATCTACCACAATGGGTGAAAAATGATCCAGATCCAAACTGAATAAAATCTGAAAATCCTTGTAGATTGGTCCAGGCTTAATTATTTCAAATTCTACTGTGTTTTTAATGAGTAGAAATGCATCAATTAAGGATGTGAACACAGCTGGTATCTAATACTTAAGGTAAAATCATAGTTCTAAATAAAAATAAAAAATAAAAATTCTCACATTAAAATATTTTTTATACACAGCTTTGCTAACAATGAAGATTCCAAAAGTATCACTATAAAAAAAATAACATAATGACAAAAAAATTTGTAAACAACAATCTTTTACAGAATATTGGCGACAAAATACTCAATTAGTCCATCATGCAATCTGTTAATTTGGGTTTGTCTACCCCTGAGGGTAGGATAGTTTTCAGTGAACTGACTGCATGGTGCCTAAACAATCTGAATTCATCATCAGGCAAATGATCAGAGTATAACTTCCACTCAGGTTGTAATAAAAAAAAGTATATAATTCATTTACTTTAACAGACAACAATCCTCTGCAGGAGATCGATCAAAAGGTCAATAAACAAAATCAGCTTTTATTTAACAATTATACACCACAACAGACAGAAGCTTGTTTTGGGACCATACAGTTTACTACATGTATATATCCTACATAAATAACTCACTAAACTATTACACAATGGATATTTGATGAATACACTAAAACAACGGTCCAGTAATCAGGAATAAATTATAAATGCGAATGAAATAAAGAAACAGTCAATACTGTCCATGGTGTGGGTGGGAGGGAAACTGAAACTTTTTCAGAAACTAGAAATAACTTGTTGCTTGCTTGCTTGATTATGAATAACTTGTGTACAGATACCAAGGTGGTAATATACTAAACTAATTTTGCAATTAAAATGCATTAAACTACATGAGCCATCATGTAGCCACTTATTCCAGTTTCTGAAGCAGAAAGCAAAAAGCAGTATTGGTTCATTGATTGGACAGGATTTCAGTCTAAAAAAATCAAGGAGTTTAACTGAGTAAGGTTCATTCAGTTAAACATTCTTAGTCATAAAATTTGGAACAAGCAGAGTCAGAGCACTCTAAATACAGAGCACTGCACATCAATGAATCCACCACCTAAAGTCAAATATACTTTATTCTGGCCCTACCATTCACTCAATAAGTACAACATACTAACTTGCTCTCTTCCAGACATTCCATATGATGCACTATGAAAAACCACATCAATCTGATGCCTGATAATCTAAAATCTTCTATACTTGTTATATCCCCCTGAAACACACATATGAATTTTATGACATTAAATCAGACTTAACATTATCATAAGATTAAAAAAAAAATTTCCCTTAAATCCAGGATAATTATCACATTATCCTTCCCAAGGTGAAGTAGAAATTATAAGAGGATTCTAGAATCTTATGAAAGCACTTCCCGCTACCGGGTGTCTGACACAGCAAATTGAAATAACTTCCATGTATTTTCCCTCTGGTAAAATTTAATACTTTCGTCTGTGCGCAGAACAAAGGCAAGATCCGAATGGAGCTGTTTAAGTAAAAAAATCCAAAGTAAATTGCGTAATTTCCCAGTCAAGTCTACCTGAAAAACACTCCATTTGCTCGTTTACAACTTCATCCAGCGGCCGCGAGATGTCATTTAATACAACCACTGCTCCCATCTTCTTCAGCTCACTCCCCAGCTTGTGGCCAAAATGTCCTCCTCCTCCTCCAGTCACGAGAATTTTTCTCCCTTGGAACATACCAACATCCATTTACAGATTTCCTTCCTAACTCAGATTTTCCTTCCCCCTTGTGATTCAACCAGCCGCGACGTACTGGGCAAAATCAGAGGGGTGGGAGGGTGGACTTTCTTTCCCCCCATCCTGTCACGTGATAGTAAATGAACCAATTAAAATAATTCAGAAAACCGAAAGCGATAAGAGAAGGCGGAAATCGACCTGAAATCGATATGAAATAGTATTAATACTAATGTTTAGCGAGGTGTTTTACCAGTCTATTTTTCTGGCTATAAGTAATAGTTTCAGCTCCTATGAAGTGATCCAGATCATCAGCGAACTGCAGCTTCAGACTGACACTGAAGGGAATAGATACAGGACCTTCACCCAGTAACATACCAATGAGGTCTCGGTAAGCCAACTCATGTTAGCTTTTGATGCATGATGCCTAGAATTCTCACTAAAATGAAAAATTTTGGTAAATACTTGAGAGCAACTCATCACTTCTATTTTCAAACGTCTTTTCTAAGACGAACAGTAGACTGAATCATAATTACAAATCGTGTAACATTGTCTCGATCTTTAAGGCTATCAGGTCTTCACGGATGTCCCTCGCAAAAAATTTTGTAGTAAGGCCTATGCAATTTGTGGTCTGACAAAATTTAGGAGTGCCTATTTATTCCAGATTTTATGACAAACATCTTGTGACTACATATTAATAACTAATATACATGACAAAACTATGTGACAACTCTTAACGATTCTAATTTACAGGAATCGCATGTAGAATAATTATTCAAACCCTGCATGTAATCGCTAAACAATTCGTCAAAATTTTAGCACTTTTTAAAATAACCTCTTTTTAGCACTGAAGTACATGTACCTCTCCTCTGCATTGTTACCTGAAAACTTCATTTCTCTTTGCTAATCAGAAGGAAGAAATTTTTTCATGGATACATTTCGTCAATTAAATTTCACTAGATCAAAAAGGCAATATGATTACTCTGTGATATGCCAGAAGTAGTAATTTCCAGTTGTCATCTACTACGGTAGTCTACAGTTAGTGGTTTAAGGCATTTTTTGTGAATAAGTAATGAAAGTAATTCATCTTTTTTATTTTCATTTTAGCAACTTCCTATTCAACATTTAAGGTTCCTGTGATGTCGGGACAATTAAAGGTAGGATATCAAACAACTGCTTTTGAAAATCACAGCTACTACCAAGTTGCTTTGTTCGCTCTGGTGCCACTTCAGGAGAAAATTACATGCCTGCAGATACAAAACTTTTCAATTTTATATTACTGGTATTTACTAAGCAGGAAATCGATATGGAAAAAAAATTATAGGAGAGTAAAATAAGTTCACATCAGTTTAAGATTAAAAGTCCACATAGATGATTGTTGAACATTTTTACTTTGGGATGATTGAAGCTGATGAAAAATATGTTCTAGGTCTCATGTTTCACATTTTTTTAGATGGTAAGTGATCATACAAGTTGGTTAGAGTTGGATGATTTAAAGTTTGCCATGTCATGCAAAACCAAACTCTGAATATCTGACAAGGAAAAACTTGTGTGTAACATTTTTTGCATGATATCAAAAAGTTACAGATGCAGGTCACTTCTTAGAGTTAATGAAATTACACAGTTGTATCACACTAACCCTGATATCCACAACAATTGTTCTTTACTGTTTCATGGAAATTTTGTACAACTTTTGCTTATAAGGTTATTGAGTTTGTGAAATTACTAAATGAGTTGAAAATTAAGAATTAAGTGTCTTTCAAAAAAAAATTCAAAAAATGAGTTTTTTTTAAAAATTATTTCTATAACTCTAATTGAATCTCCTAAATCACAAAAATCTTGTGTTTACAGAACGACACTGGGGAAAGGAAACTGAGGGTAACCCTTTTGAGTGCTGGATGGAAAGCTTCAAGCAATGGAGACTTGACAACCATCAACAGAGAGCTAGCAATACAGATGGCTAAACATCCCAATGTGGAAGTCAGTGTCTTCTTACCTCAGTGTAGTGAAGAGGACAAGAAAGATGCTGATAGTTACAATGTTAAACTCATTGAAGCTGTTAAACTGTCTGGTTTTGAACCAGTTGATTGGCTAGCCTCTGTACCTGAAGGCCATGCTATGGATTGTGTTCTAGGGCATGGAGTAGCTCTTGGTCGGCTAATTCCACTCATAAAGATAAATCCAAATTACAGTCATTGCAAATGGATTCAAGTTGTCCATACTGCCCCTGAAGAAATTGGCATGTACAAAAGCATTTCTGAAGGTCAAAAAATGCAGCAAACAGAAATAGAACTATGTAAAATGGCTGATCAAGTTGTAACAATTGGCCCCAAGCTAACTGATGCATATAAGCACCAACTCAGAAAACAAGACGTTTTTAACCTGACACCAAGCATTCTCTCTGAATTTTCAGATGTCCAGCAAGCAAGTGATGAAGAAAGAACATTTTGTGTCTTGGTAACTGAGAGTGGTGATAGTGAAGATTTTTATGTCAAAGGGTACGACATTGCAGTGAAAGCTATTGCTGAGCTAAAGGATAAATCTTACCAACTCAAGTTTGCTTCCAAACAGAGAGGAAAAGAAGATGAATTAGCAAACAAGTTACTTCAGTGTGGTATTGGTTGTAATCAGCTAATGATCTGCAGCTTTGATGAAAACAGGGAAACATTAGCCAACTTATTCTCTGCAGTGGATATTGCTATATTGCCCTCAAGAACTGAGGGATTCGGGTTGAGCTCTCTTCAAGCTATATCTGCTGGTCTTCCAGTACTTGTCAGTGGTAACTCAGGAATTGCAGAAGCCTTAAGGAAGGTGCCTATTGGGTCACAGTGTATAGTGGATTCAGAGGATCCTGCAGAATGGGCCAGAGCAATTAAGGCTGTGCGTTACAAAGAAAGGAATGTACGACTTGCAGAGGCTAGGATTCTTCGTGAAAACTATTTGCAGCAGTTCAGCTGGGAGAAGCCCTGTAATTTCCTTGTTGAAAAGATGTACAGTCTTGCATTTGGTAAGTTTTCTTATCTTGCATCAAGGATGCAGAAGTTTTAATCAAATTTGAAATAATGAAAAAGCTCACATGTTCTGTGTTAAATTTTCAATTTACAGGTTGGAAGTTGTTTCTAAATGCTATAGGGGCAGTAGTCTTACAGAATGTGACAAATTTATATTTAAGAAAACTGGTAATCCAAGGCTACAAGTTGGTGGTAATAGCCATTGTTGTGAACAGTAATTCGTGTACTGGGTATTATTCAATTAAAAGATTGCTGCGTGATTTCAGGTTTTGGGGGATGGAACACTTGTGTGCAGCCCTCAAATAACAAGGACCTGCGAGCAGACTGTCATCCAATATGTTTGAAGTTTAATCTGATATGGATTTGAAGTATAATTTTAACTTATACACTTTGCTCTAAATTAACAGATCAAAAATTAAACATCAAAGTTGGTGTGGAACATATCAAACTTGCAGATCATGATGCTTACAGTACAGCTTCAGTTTCAGCTCTAGAGCCAGCAGGATATCAGAAGGCATCCACAGCTTCAGGTGCAAAGAGAAAAAGACAATCTGATACAGATTTAGAAGATCTAGAACTACTCCAAAAGAGAGCCCTTAGCTTAATTGCAATAAATTACATCAATACTACACCACCACAGAGCAGGTATGAACGCAATGAGTTTGAGGAATACTTAGATAAAATGAAGGTCCGCATATTAGATGTTTCTGTCAAAAGTTTGGTGATAACAGTAAAGTGCGAGTCTCTCAAGAGCTTGGAGGAATTATGGGAAGATTACTCATGTGGCCTTTTGGATCAGATAGTTCGAGATTGTTTTGTGACGGAAAAGATCTTGAAGGAACTTAACTTGGCAGAACTGAAGCTGAAAGCAACGATGGACTTAGAAGAGTACAATGCATACAAACTGTACTTTCTTGAGAAGGATGCACTCAAAGGTCAGTTGAAAGAAAGAAAAAGGCCTGGTCTTTGAAAAAATATTTTGAAAGGATTAAAAACACAATGCATCACTCATTTAACATGGTGCACAATAGGATTAACACCCATGTAGAGGTCCAGGTTTTGATCAAGGTAGAACCAATTGTCTCATGAATCAGCTCTCATGACTTTGTAATTAAGTCATGAAAATCTGCAGCTAGAAGTGATTTGTTTTCAAGATATTTCCTATATTTTCCTTTCTGTCTGGTTGTATTTGTATTTGCTCCAAATATAAATAAAACAAAACAGTTAAAATATAAAATGGCAAGATTTTTGTTAGAGGAGCTGTAAAAGAAAATGTTACCCATGTGGGGTTTTTAAAAACAATTTGAGGTGTGTTTTATGGGTTTAAATGTCAGCATTCAGTGATTGCCTTGTTACTTGTTTCTTTGAAATCTGATTTTAGGTGCTTCATCATCTGAATTCCACTCTATAAGTTCAACCAGTCCACGAAAACAAGAAGAGCTGAAAAAATGGGAACAGAAGTCAAAGATTGTTGAGAGAGAGAAACTGAAAGGTGAAAACAAAATTAAAAGATGTATTAAGTTGTTATGGAAAGTTGTTGTGAACAATAATAACAATTTATTATTTGACAAGACTTTGAAGAATTATCTCTTTGCAATAATGTGGTATTGGTGTTATTTTAAGAGTACAACTTATGGGGAACAACTTATAGCATATCTGAGTAGAGGCTGTGAATGCTAATCTCTCCCTGTACTTTTGCTCATAGGTACTTCACCCCTCACTATAAAACCCAGTACTGGTCTCAGAAAAGAATTAATAGAGAAAGAGCAACAAAGTAAAGGTGAACAGGAAGGTCAGTTTGAATTAATTTCTAAAGTGGATATGTTCAGTGTGTTCAGCTATTATGTCAAGTGTGAAGAAGTGTGCTTTTGGGATTAAACATTTAAGGTTGCACGGGTCTGTAGGGTAAAACTAAACTGACAATTATTTGAAATACCATAAACATCCATGTATAAGCCACATCTGTAGATAAGCCACACCCCTGATTTGGAAGCACAGAATTTGGAAAAAAATGGAAACAATACAGTTTGAAGTCTCAGTAGAGTTGTATTGCTACAAACAATCAAGGTTTCGAAACACCTACATAGAAGTTGTGGCTATCTTTCACATTTATCAAGTCTAAAGAAAGCTAAATTTCATTTGTCGTACCTTCTTTTTCATTGGAATTTACACCATCTTTAACTTAAAATGCTCTCTCGGTCAAATTTTTCAAGATTATCACTTTGAAACATGCCATAAAGTTGAAATTTGTTCGGCATTAAAAAAAAAAAAAAAACCAACAAGTGCTTAGTAGCCAAGCTTTAAATGTTGGGAGGAGTCTGGGCCAGGGTCTGGCCATCGTCTGGGCATAAACAGAAAGCACACGCACTGATGCAATCATTTCAGTTTCTATTTCATGAATTAATATTACAATACTTCAGGTAATTTATACTGATAATGCAGTCGACAAATTTGCCATGAAGGCAGTAAAAAACAATGAGAGATTCCTTGTATGTTGGTGTTTAGTTGTTTAAGTAAAGCAAAAATTAACTGCTTGAAAGAACTCTGTGGCGGTGTAGTGTCAAGGTAATTCATAGCAATTAAGCACAGGACTTTCTCTTTAAGCGGTTGAAGATCTTCCAAATCTGTATCAGATTGTCTTTTCCTCTTTACACCTGAAGAACTGGAGAGCAAGATTAGCTGATAAACACTCAAAGACACAAATGGCTTCTTTAGGAGCCACCACTCAATGAAAAAGTCAATGAACTACAGCAACACACTCTCAGTTTCTTTTATGTTTATTTCTTGGCATCTTAAGAAGTTTTATGAATATTAATTAGGTTTTTGAGAACTCCAAACACAGATGTATCCATGGATAAGCCGCACCCTTGATTTTTGGCTTCAATTTTGTGGGAAAAAGTGTGGCTTATACATGGACGTTTAACGGTACTTTCAGTTCTCATTAAAAATTAATTTCAAAGAAATTAAAACCCAATTTAGTTTTCTCTAAGAGAATGTTAAGATGGTAGCAGCTAGGGATGGTGAAACATCATTTATTATAATAAATCACAATCATAATAGCAATAGTATTATAATAGTATAATAAAGATTTTTTCAGCCTTAGTCATAAATTATGTATTATGTCACATCTCTCAGATAAAAGTCACACCATGAATACTAATATTGCTGTAAAAAATGTAAAGTAATGCAAATTATTACAAAGTAATACAATTGCGCCTCTCTCTAATTTACGTTAACCTGAAGGGAATTTGTGTTGGTTTGTGGAGTTAAAATGAAATACATGGGATATATATATATGTATATCAAATTGATGTTTTCAACACCTTTTTAAATCTCTCCTTAGCTTCAAGTTGGTATGCCTTTCTCTATCTATTTATCAGTAAAAATGCTAGTATCTCTCTGTATACCTTTGTTTTTAGGCATGTTGCCTCTTCATGGATCTTCCACCTCGGATCCTGAAAAAAAACTAGAAGAGCTACATATGAATCTCAAGAAACAAGTTACTTGCTCAATTTGTCTTGATACTTACACCCAACCTAAAACTATATCATGTCATCATACATTTTGCTGTGAGTGTTTAGAGAGACATGCAAGAGTGAGCCAGAAACAAGGGAAATTCCGATGCCCAGAGTGTCAAGTGGAAATTGATTTACCTGAAGGAAATCGCTTTGACTGTTTGCCTAACAGCTTTTTTCACAAAAGTCTGTTACGTGTCCTTCAAGCAGAAGATCGCAAAGGTGAATTGTTGAGTATTAAATCTTTGCACAAAAATAAATGGAACAAACTAAATGAAGTACTAGTTGAATGGTTAAATGATGGAAAATCAGAAATCAATTCATATATTTGTACTTTTCCCCTTAGGTACTTCACCCTCCACTGTACTGTCCACTGCTGGTCACAAAAAAAAATGGGAAGTAAGACACAACACTGGGAAATTTCAGGAAAAGAAAGGTGAGTGAAAAGATATCCTGAAGCTAAGGATTAGTGATAATTAAAATTTTTAGGTAATGAATAGAACGCCCTTCAATTCTTTTAGCAGTTATGTCAGTTGTTACTTTCCCAAGTACAGTCAACTGCAGTTACTTTGGACACTTAGTGTTCGTAATAGTGAGAGTCTGTAATAACGGGGTATGAGAGAAATTAAAAAATGTTTTCTTTCTAAACGTATGAAATAATATGTAACTACACAAACATAAAGTTTCTAACATGGCCTCATGAACTGCAAAAAGATCTGGCTGCAAGCAGGAAATTCTCATGTTCACACCTAGTTGAAGAATTGGTTCTTCATTTTCCTTTATCCTAATGTTGTGCTATATTATGTGAGTCAGGATTTTGAAGGAAGTGTTTCAGTGTCTGCTATAGTGAGAGGAAAAACAAGTGAAATGTCTTACTGGGGGGCTGAAAAGTGTCTGCATTTCTGTAATAGCAAGAGTCTGTAATAAAGGGAGTTTATTTCAGTCATTTCTTTATGCATTTCCCCAGGGACTGGCTCTTGTCTGTAATAGACAATTTCGATGTCTCTAATGGCAATTTGTCTGCAGGGCAAGAGTGAACTGTAGATCAATCCAAATTTGACTTTGTCTTATTCTCTACTTTAGCTAAAGATGGTAATGAGTTGGCATGCCGTAAAAAATACATAATAGTTGTTTTGAACAATAATCGTTGCTGTTATAATGAAGAACTAACACTGTTTTACTTTAACATGACTATAATTTGCTGTTTGCACTGATATCCCTGTTGTTATCTTTTCTGTAAAGTAAGAGACTGAATATTGAAAAGCTCTGTATACATTTGCTCCCAGGTTCTTCAACTCCCCCTCTTCTCTCCACCACTGATCTTGAGTAACTTAACTGATCTTCAGTAACTTAGTTTTATTAAAGAACATATTTTCAATTCAGTTTTGCCTCTTAATAATACTAGCAAGGTAGTATTAGTAGTTTTACTACCTTTGAGTTCAGTCAAAGGTAGAATTATATTGGCTGAACATGTGACATTGAAATATTACTTATAGCTAGCTAATTTCACAATGATATAATGGAAAACTAGCACCATTTGTTCTTTCACTTGACCTTGGTGCATGTTAGTATGCTTTAACTTTTATATCAGGTGAGACACTAATTGCTAAATGTATTTCTGTGTACCTTTGAATGCACATTTAGACAGAAATTAATTGTAGTAGAGTAGTTAAACCATATTGCCGTGTACTTCTTCTCACAGGTAGTTCACCTCCCCCTGTGTCCACCGTTGAAGTAGAACTAGAGGAACTAGTCAAGAAACTTCAGAAAGGGAGGTTGGAAGGTGAATACATATTCAGACAGAAAATAATTGTAGTAGAATGCTTTTGAAATACTTCCAGTTCTTTATAGGATTATCTTTTTCCATGGAACTCCTACACATGCAGCCTTCTACTGCAATAATAATTAACAATTGCTATGCTCATTGGAGGCCTTAGACATCAGTTTCATTACTCCATTGGTACCCAGCACTTAGATGGAGACTGTTTTCACAAGCGGTAAATCCTGGTAACCCACCCATCAGCCATCATGTAGTAAGGAGACAACCTCCCATTGCACTAGATAATAAATATTGTAAAAGAAAAGAAAAAAAGGACCATGCAAAAGTGAACTTCTTTTTAGCATGTGTATTAAACTAACTGGCTTCTTGGGATAAGCTTATCCTGGTTCTATAAACTTTCAAATTTTGCTACATATGCAAAATTACAGGTACTGTTTCTAGTGCAAGAGAAAATACATTAAGTGAAACTTTATAGCAATAGCAAGAGTCTGTAATAAAGGGAGTTTATTTCAGTCATTTCTTGTCTGCGGTAGTGAGATGTCTGAAGGGCAAGAGTCAACTGTAGATCAATCCAAATTTGGCTTTGTCCTATTCTCTACTTTGGCTAAAGATGGTATTGAGTTGACATGCCGTAAAAATACATAATAGTTGTTTTAATAATAATAATAATTATAATTATAATAATCTATTTCTTATAGAGTGCTATTTACAATGACAGATCAATAGCGCTTTACAATTAGTGTCTCTAAATATTAAAATCTCAACTAATTCAAAAAGTAATTACATATTACAGTTAACTTGGCAATATGCAATTCATAACTTAACCACTATTGAGAGAATTGCCTGAAAAAAAAAGTCTGCATTGAATTCTTAAAAATTTATACAGATCCAATACTGCGTAATTGCAATGGTAGTTCATTCCATAGATGCGGTGCAGCCGCCTGAAATGCACGTTAACCCAGGGTTGCCAGCATTTTACCTCTTGGTGGCTCTAATAAAATACCTGAGTTAGATCTAAGATTGTACGAGGACTTGTGTTTGATAACCAAAAGATTGCTAATATATGCGGGTGCGAGGCTGTGAATGGCTTTAAAAGCTAATAATAGAATCTTAAAATGTATACGCGCTGGCACAGGTAACCAGTGTAACTCATAGAGTGCTGGAGTAATGTGAGAATATTTCCCGATATCCATAATTAGTCTAGCGGCGGCATTTTGCACGCGTTGTAACTTAGCTATTTGCTCTTTGGGAAGGCCATCCAATAAAGCATTACAGTAATCTAACCTGCTCGTGATGAATGCGTGTACCAGGGTGAGTAAGCTATCTCTCGATAAATACATCTTAATGCGTCTAATATTATGCAAGTAGAAGAAACCCGCCTAACATACATTAGTGATATGGTGGCGCATATTCAGGTTTGGTTCTTAACTTGGTAGCTAGGTTTTCTCTCTGAACCACCTACTTTAATATTCATAGCCTGCAATTTGTTAAGCTGCTGGCGAGTTCCAATAATAATAAACTCAGTCTTATCGTCATTAAGAAGGAGTCTGTCATGGATCAGCCAGCGCCTGATCTTCTCAATACAACATTCCATCGCACGGACTGCATCTTCCTGGGATGTGTTACTAATAGGTTTGAAACTCAGATAAATCTGTGTGTCGTCGGCATAGCAATGCACGTGTGGGAGTTGATCCTCAACTACCCTGAATAGCTTGGATACATAGATGAGAAAAAGCAGGGGGCCCAGACATGACCCTTGTGGGACACCACACTCCAGACTAAAGCGCTCTGAAAGAGATCTGTCAATGGAGACTCGCTGACCTCTTTTCGCCAGATACGACCTGAACCATTCCAAGGCCAATCTGCATATCCCAAGCTCCTCATTCAGACTAGTAAGGAGGATGTTATGATTAACGTATCGAAAGTGGCGCTAAGATCAAACATGACCAGCAAGGTGACTTCTTGAATGTTCATTTTCATGAGAATATCGTTCGTGACTCTAACAAGAGCCGTTTCCGTGCTATGATTTTTACGATATGCAGACTGAAACTCAGGATATAGTGAATGAGTCATCATATGGGTGTGTATTTGCTCAAACACCATCCTTTCAGTCAGCTTTGAAACGTACTGCAGGTTGCTGACAGGTCTGTAGTTTTTGAATAGAAGGTATAGCCCAGGCTTTTTCAGCAGTGGAAGGACAAGCGCACACTTCCAGTCATCAGTAAATAGCCCAGACCGAAGGGATAAATTGACCATTTTCGTTATGATCGGTGGAAGCACTTAAGTGCAATCTATCACTAGGGATGTTGGCATAGGGTCAAGAGTGCAGCTTTGTGAACCTTCTCTTTTGTAATGAGGCTAAATTTGCTAAGGGGGGGGAGGTGATACTTGGGCGTAGTCATCGGGGAGTGCTGGTAGCCCTTGCGCCATGTTATCGAGATTGGAACCAATGGTCTCAATTTTCTGAATAAAGAAAGTTCCCAGTTGATTTGCCAAGTTACTGATATCATCCACAGGTGGATACACCGCCCTGTTATCCCCCTGGTTGAGTAGCTTCTTTGCTGCCAAAAATAGGTGGCGCTGACTGTTGCTATTATCCTGATGAAGTTATGATAGAATTTGCGTCTAGATTCATTCATCAAAGCATTCACATTGTTATTTTTTGCTTTGTATGTCAGCATATCCTCCCTAGAGCCGGTTCGTCGCCACTTCTTCTCAGCCTTCCATTTCTCCCGCCTTTTCAACAATAATCATTGCTGTTATAATGAAGAACTAACACTGATTTACTTTAACATGACTATAATTTGCTGTTTACACTAGTATAACTGTTGTTATCTTTTCTGTGTAAAGTAAGAGACTGAATCTTGAAAATCTCTGTATACATTTGCTCCCAGGTTCTTCACCTCCCCCTCTTCTCTCCACCATTGATCTTGAGGAAAAGCTAGGAAAAGTATGTGAGGACATTAAGATGCTGAGAGTGGAAGGTGAATAGAAAAATTCATATCTTATCATTTTTAGGGAGAAAGTGATCCAAGAATGGTAATAACTGTCCATAAAGTTTGTTTAGGTTTAAAAAGGGGGCTAAAATATCTAAAAAGTAAAAACCAAACATTTTTGACTCTAAGTCATCATTAGGGTGATGATGACCTAGTGTATAAAATGTTTGGTTTTTACTTTTGTTAATATTTAGCTATGTAAATAGCTAGCTTAAAGCCATTAAATGTTTTTATATTTTCCCAGTAATTACCCTCAAGAGAAGTTATTCCCTATCAGAGATATATACCATTTTCTGTCCTTACTTTCATCCAAGAATACTGTTAAATTCTCACAGCTATTTTTCAGTTACTTATTTTTATTAAGTAACATATTTTCAATTCAGTTTTGCCTCCTAATAATACTAGCAAGGTAGTATTAGTAATTTTTACTGCCTTTGACTTCAGTCAAAGGTACTATTAAATTGGCTGAACATGTGACATTGAAATATAACTGTACTTATAGATAGCTAATTTCACAATGATATTATGGAAAACTTGCACCATTTGTTCTTTCACTTGACCTCCGTACACATTAGTATGCTTTAACTTTTTATATCAGGTGAGGCACTAATTGCTAAATGTATTTCTGTGTACCTTTGAATGCACATTTAGACAGAAACTAATTGTAGTAGAGTAGTAAAACCATATTGCTGTTTACTTCTTCTCTCAGGTAGTTCACCTCCCCCTGTGTCCACTGTTGAAGTAGAACTAGAGGAACTACTCAAGAAACTTCAGAAAGGGAGGTTGGAAGGTGAATGCACATCTAGACAGAAAATAATTGTAGTAGAATGCTTTTAAAATATATCCAGTTTTTTATTGGATTATCTTTTTCCATGCAACTCCTGCACATGCAGCCTCCTACTGCAGTAATAATTAACAATTGCTATGCTCATTGAAGGCCTTAGACATCAGTTACATTACTCCATTGGCACCCAGCACTTAGATGGAGACTGTTTTCACAAGCAGTAAATCCTGGCAACCCAGTCATCAGCCATCATGTATTAAGAAGACAGCCTCCCATTGCACCAGAAAATAAATATTGTAAAAGAAAAGAAAAAAAAATACCAGGCAAAAGTGAACTTCTTCTTAGTGCATGTTTAAACTTATCCTGGTTCTATAAACTTTCAAATGTTGTTACATTATGCAAAATTACAGGTACCGTTTCTAGTGCGAGAGAAAATGCACTTAGTGAAATGTCATAGCAATAGCAAGAGTCTGTTACAAAGGGAGTTTATTTCAGTCATTTCTTTATGCATTTCCCCAGGGGCTGGCTCTTGTCCACAGTGTCGAGGTGTCCGTAATAGAGAGGTGTCTGCAGGGCAAGAACCAACCACAAATCAATCTAAATTTGGCATTGTCTCATTCTCCACTTTAGCTAAAGATGGTATTGAGTGGGCATGTGATAAAATTACATAATAGTTGTTTTAAACAATGATCATGGTGTTATAATGGAGAACTAACACCATTTTACTTTAACATGACTATTAATAATTTGTTGTTTACACAGGTATAACCGTTGTTATCATTTCTGTGTAAAGTAAGAGACTGAATTTTGAAAAGCTCTGTATACCTTTTCTCCCAGGTTCTTCACCTACCCCTCTTCTCTCCACCACTGATCTTGAAGAAAAACTAGGAAAAGTATGTGAGGAAATTGAGATGCTGAGAGTGAAAGGTGAATAGAAAAATTCATATCTTATCATTTTTAGGGAGAAAGTGATCCAAGAATGGTAATAACTGTCCATAAAGTTTGTTTAGGTTTAAAAATGAGCTAAAATATCGAAAAAGTAAAAACCAAACATTTTTGACTCTAAGTCATAATTAGGGTGATGATGACACTGTGTCAAAATTATTTGGGTTTTTACTTTTTAAAATATTTTAGCCATGTTAATAGCACAAAGCCATTAGATGTTTTCATATTTTTTCCAGCTATTACTCTCAAGAGAAATTATTCCCTATCTGAGATATTAACCTTTTTCTGACCTTACTTTCATCCAAGAATACTGTTAAATACTCTCAGCTATTTTTCAGATACTTACTTTTATTAAGGAACATATTTTCAATTCAGTTGTGCCTCCTCATAATACTAGCAAGGTAGTATTAGTAATTTTACTACCTTTGACTTCAGTCAAAGGTAGTATTATATTGGCTGAACATGTGACACTGAAATAATACTTATGGATAGGTTATTTCACAATGAGATAATGGAAAACTTGCACCATTGTTCTTTCACTTGACCTTGACACATGTTAGTATGCTTAAACTTTTTATATCAGGTGAGACACTTATTGCTAAATGTAGTTCTGTATACCTTTGAATGCACATTTAGACAGAAAAAAGTTTTAGAAAAGTAGTTAAACCATATTACTGTTTACTTCTCTCAGGTAGTTCACCTCTCCCTGTTTCCACTGTTGTAGTAGAACTAGAGGAACAACAAGAGGAACTACTTGAGAAACTTCAGAAAGGGAGGATGGAAGGTGAATGCACATCTAGACAGAAAATAATTGTAGTAGAATGCTTTTAAAATACGTCCAGTTCTTTATTGGATTATCTTTTTCCACGGAACTCCTGCACATGCAGCTTCCTGCTGCAGTAATAATTAACAATTGCTATGCTCATTGAAGGCCTTAGACATCAGTTACATTACTCCATTGGCACTTAGATGGAGACTTTTTTCACAAGTGGCAAATCCTAGCAACCCAGCCATCAGCCGTCATGTAGTAAGGAGACAACCTCGCACTGCACTAGAAAATAAATATTGTAAAAGAAAAGAAAAGAAGGACCAGGCAAATGTGAACTTCTTTTTAGTGCATGTTGAAAACTAACTGGCCTCTTGGGATAAGCTTATCCTGGTTCCATAAAATTTCAAAACTTTCAAACTTTGTTACATATGCAAAATTACAGGTACTGTTTCATTTCACGCGCAAGTTGCCGTACTTTGGATTTGCACAAGCGTCAAGTGCACGGTACTGTAGTGGATACAACTCCGGAATTTTATCAGGCATTTTTAGTTGTATCCATTTACACCCTTGATGTGATAAGGCCCTACAATCGTTATATCGTGCTCTAATTCAGAACACAGTGTACACATGCAGTTTGTAACTTGAATTTTGTTTGTTGAATGTTGAGGAGCCTTTGTGTAAGTCATCTCAGAATTACGATGCCAGAGGTTATTAACTTTACCATATTAGAGAGTTTTAGATCCACGTTTGGTGTGTTAACTGCAAACCTCAAACTGTAACTGTAGTTAGCGGTCAAATTAAGCGGGCTTTACCATATTAGAGAGTTTTAGATCCACATTTGGTGTGTTAACTGCAAACCTCAAACTGTAGTTCGAGATTTTCAGATTTTCAGCGTTTTAGATCGACTACGGTGTGTTAACCCCGAACCTCAAATCGTAGTTAGCGGTTTAGCGTTACCATATTAGAGAGTTTTAGATCCACGTTTGGTGTGTTAAACGCGAACCTCAAACTGTAGATAGTGGTTTGAGGGTAGGAGTTAGAAGTTTCGAGATTTTCAGCGTGTTAGATCAACGTTCGATTTTCACGCAAGTCTTATTCCACAAGCAGCCAACGAAATGGAGGCATACTTGAGAAAAATCAAGAAAAACAGCGATGTGTTTTTCATGCTAGGGTTCCATTCGATTTCAAATAAACAAAAACGGAAACAGAAATGTTCACAGATCCCAAAATCGGAAGTACCAAATGTGGCCTTAATTTATTAGATTACATCCATTAATCAAGGGTTAATTGGCAAGACTTTAGTTGGAGGGGCCAAGAAAGAAAATTTTACTCCTTTTTGCTTCTTGGGTGGTTTTAAAAATAGTTTGAGGTGCCTTTATGGTTTAGAATGTTTGTCCTCTTGTAAATCTGATTTTAGGTGCTTTATCCTCTGAATTCCACTCCACAAGTTCAACCAGTCCACAAAAAAAAGAACAATGGGAAAAAATTGAACTGAAGACAAAGATTATGGGGACAGCAAAATTGGAAGGTGAAAGGAAATAAAAAAAAAAAAAGCTGTTGTGAACAGTAATAACAATTATGTGACACCTGTTCGAAGAATTGGCTCAGTGCAAGAATGTGGCATTAATTAATTAATATAATTGTATACAGTTCCACTAATGAGAACAAAACATTTAAAGGGAGGCTGTGAATGCTAATCTCTCTCTGCTTTTTTCACCCTTAGGTACTTCACCCCTCACTGTAGTACCCACCACTGGTTATGGAAAAGAATTAGAAGAACCTTGGGAAAGGAAAGGTGAATGGGATGCTCTGTTTGAACCCATTTCTAAAGTTAATGTAGTTAAAACATGTTGCTCATTGTGTTCAGCTAATTAAATCCAAGTGGAAAGTTGTATTTTATTGAGAGTTATTGACTATTTAAGGTTCTTCATGTTGGTTGAGTTTTTCCCTTTATTATTGGGAAAAAAACCCACTTTTATGTGGATTTAGTTGATCTACCCTTAAAACTGTCATCAAACCACCTTGAAATGAATAAAAAGATGTGGGGCTTACTACTTTCAGTTGTTTTTGTTGACATGTTTAGCATGAGTTCCAGTTTGGGTTCAGTTCTCCAGATATGGTCCAAAAAAAAAAAAAGAAAACAACATAGCAATTCACTGACTTGTTGTATTGATGCATTGATATTGAAGAAGTGGAAGAATTCATAGGTGCATAAATTGGCCAAAAAAGTCATATAAGTGAAGCTTTGAAACTTCAGGAAAAGAGAGGAGAAATGAAACAAGAACGTGAATGTAGTTTTAGTCATTTTTTAAAATAGAAATTAATGTTATTAATGAGCAAGAATGCTTCTGTCAGCAATTATGAAAAATGATACTTGTCAATGCAAATTATTTCAAATGTGTTTTTGCCTCATTCTCTTCTCTAGTTAAAGGTAGTGTTGAGTTTCCAGGTAATAATGAAACATTACTTACATATAGACTGAATGCTTTTTTAGTTGTTTTTAACAGCTTCTTTTTCGGGTTTAAAGCATCTTTGTTTAAATAAAGGCAATCTACAGTGTACATGTACCTACTGGTATCTTTAAATACAAGTTGTACGCCTGTTTCTAACTATTTATCTGTAGAAATGCTAATCTCTCACTGTATACCTTTGCTTTTAGGCATGTTGCCTCTTCCTGGATCTTCCATCTTTGGTCCTGAAGAAGAACTAGTAGAGCCACGTATGAAACTCCAAAGAATAAAAGGTGAATAAAAAGATGTGTTAAATTAACTTTAATGGTAAAGCTAAACTAAAAATGCTTTTAAATACATTTACTTCTCATTCAAAATATTTTTTTTTGAAATGAAATTATACCCAGTTTAGTTTTCCCTCACTCAGTGTTTTGCTATTAGGGAATATTAAGATGACAGAGCTGGGGTTGGTGAAACAGTATGTAATGACAAACTACGTCTTTTTTATGTTGGTCTCAAATTATGAATTAAAAAGTTGACAGTTATATAGTTCAGGTAGATTTTGTACATTGTTTACAATCTGTTAATTACATGTTGATTTGACCTGTTATCATGTTGCTATTAAAAGTAATACCATGAATTCCTCTTTGTACTTTTCCCCTTAAGGTTGACTCCCATTACTGTGGACACCCTTGGGGGGAGATTTAGTGTCTGTAATAGCAAAAAGTTTGTAATAATGGGGTACAAGAGAAATAAACATTTGTTTTGTTTCTTAACATATGAAATAAAGTTTCCACAAACCAGAAAAAGATCTGGCTGTAAGCAGAAAATTTCATATGTTCACAACCAATTGAAAAATGGTTTCTTTATTTCCCTTTTTCATAATGTCAGTTCATAGCATATATGCTGGTCATGATTTTGGACAGAGTAAATAAATGTCAGTTATAGCAAGAGAAAAAACAAGTGAAAAGTCATGCTGGGGGGCAGGAAAGAGTCTGCATTATTGCAATAGCAAGAGTCTGTTATAGAGGGAATTTATTTCAGTCATTTCTGTATGTGTTTCTCCAGGGGCTGGCTCTTGTCTGCAGTGGCAAGGTGTCTGTAATAGTGAGGTGACCACAGGGCTAGAGTCAACTGTAGATTAATCCAAATTTGGCATTGTCATTTCTTTTCTGTCTGGTTGTATTTATCTTTGGCTCTAAATATAAATAAAATAAAACAAGCTAAAATAAAAATTGGCAAGATTTTAGTTGAAGGAGCTATAAAAGAAAATGTTACCTGTATTTGTGTGTGGGGTTTTTATAAAAATGATTTGAGGTGTGTTGTATGGTTTTGAATGTCAGTATTTAGTGGTTACCTCATTATTTGTTTTCTTTTAAATCTTATCTTAGGTGCCTTATCTTCTGAATTCCACTCCATAAGTTCAACCAGTGAAAGTCCACAAAATCAAGAAGAGCTGAAAAAACGGAAACAGAAGACAAAGATTGATGAGAAAGGTGAAAACAAAATTAAAAGACATATTAAGTTGTTAAGGAAAGCTGTTGTGAACAGTAATAACAATTTATTATATAACAAAGCTTTGAAGAATTATCTCAATGCAGTAATGTGGCATTAGTATTATTTTAAGAGTACAACTTATGGGGAACAACTTACAGCGTATCTGAAGAGAGGCTGTGAATGTTAATCTCTCCCTGTACTGGTGTTGTGTTACAGTATGGTTACCTGTCACAACAATGTCTTGTTCTTACTCATAAGCAAATTTTTATCAGAAACCGGATTTGCTTCTTGTTTTAATATTTGTTAAATCATCGATTGATATTCACCAAATTGCTCGAAAAAGGGAAGGGAAACATTAAATGGATCATGTCTAAAAGTAAACACGAGTGACCACAAGTAACCAATGGTAAAAAAGCGAAAAAAATTAATCATTAACTAAAATAAAAATAATTGATTAGATAAGAAAAATATTACAGTGAATTTTATGGGAAATATTAAAGGAAAAAGAATTGTTGGAAAAAGAACTGTAGGGCTGATTTAGACAACCAAAAAAAAAGTATTTTAAGCTTTCTGAATGACTAATAAAAAATATATATTTAATATAATCAATATATTAATTTAATCAATAGATCCTTAAAACATTTTTAAGAGTTATTTTTTTCGGCAAAACGATACGATTGCGTTACTTCAGTCGACGGCCTAAAGGTCAAACTATGAATGAAGCGTTGACAACTAGACTTTACTTATTACAGAATACAAGGAAAAATCACATTCGAACTTAACAGAAATTTAGATCTTGTCATAAGCTTTCTTAAAAACTTACAATAAAATCACGTGTCATGCACAGTCAAGAAATGATTCGAAAAACGGAAACATCGAAGCATTTACCTTTTTTCCTTTTATTCGGGGTTTTTATTGAATGAGGGCTACAGTTCTTTTACGTTTAATATATCCCATTAAATTCACTGCAATATTTTTCTTATTGTTTTTATTTTGGTTAATGATTAACTTTTTCCCGCTTTTTCACTCATGGTCATTCGTGGTCATTCATGGCCACTCATGCGTACTTTTACACAGATCGTCAAAGTTGCAATTGTTTATTATAGCGGAGCTCGCAGAGCGTAGTCCCATCATTATACAAAATAGTAGTAACCCATCAAGCCGAAAAAATTTGGATGTACTACCGTACGACCGACCGTACAAGGTGCTACTTTTAGCATGCGCGGCCAACTGTACCACGGGCACTATCTTATAATCAGTCCTCTACACGGACACGGAGAAGTTGCGAATGAAAATCCACTAATATTACCACGCACTTTATCCATAGTAGGGGCTTTCGTTTTGTTGAAGAGACGTGCGGGAAAAAAAAATGCGAGCTCCGCTTTTAGGCTTGCCTAAATCCATATATTATGTGAAGTCGCTTTTCACATGCTGTGCGACTTCTTATGCCGCGACTAAAACTCATGGCAAATTTAGCTCAACAAAAGTTATTTAAACAGGTTTACAACGCGAAAACGCAGCCATTCACACTACTCAGTAAAGAAAAAAATTAATAATACTTAATTTTAGTCACGCGCGTTATCGTTGTGGGGATGAATGTGCCAAGCGCTTGAGAGTCTTTGTTCAAACAGTTCGCGCAACATGCCTTAACATCCGTTCCGTGTTTTAGGATTGGAGGTCATTTTCCGCCGTTCCGTGTTTTAGGATTTGGGGTCATTTTCGGTAAACTTTCCGCACAGCCCCATACTACATTATGCATTCAGTTCTTGGATAGAGAAAACAACGACAAAAACAGTACATTGCCATCAGGAAAACAGATTTGTTTAACAATAGTATGGGGATGTGCGGAAATTTTACCTCATTTTCCGCCATTCCGCCGTTCGGCCGTTCCGGCTTTTAGGGTTGCCCGAAATTGGGAAGCAATATTAGTGAGTATTCGCTTCGTTACTCGCTCAATTATACGCGTGTTTCGATGCCTAGTGTAAGCGACATTTTCCTTCCCAGCTGATTCATCAACAACTCAAATCAAGCAAATCTTCTGCTACTACTCGTTATTCAATAAATTCGCGAAGCGATGCGACATATGTCAGTGTAACATTATAGCTTTTTTCATTAAGTAAACTTTCCGTTGTCGACTCGTCGCATTGTCAAACATAAAAGTTCTTTGTTTTACTCAACAGTGTAATACAAAGGATACTTATAGCACTGAATGACAAAGGCACATGAGTTGCGCATTTTTTTCGACTGTGCGCGAAAACAATCGTATTTGTGCGCCTGACCACCGTGCGTCTGAGCGTCTGTAATTCGTCTTCGCAGTTAACATATACGCGAGGGTACTGTATCATTCATAACACTGAGGGACCACAAATCGAACTTCGCTCACAAACCGACCTGCCGACTAACCAACCCCACCAAATCCAATATTGGCAGAATCAGCAAAACAATCCTCGACAGAATCAACAACAAAATCACGAGAGCATCCAAGTTCAACCAGTGGAGCAACACGGCATCTGTGATCGAGTGTTTAAAGCCATTAAAACAAAAAAACACCACAGTTTTATTTGCTTTGTCATCGAAGAATTCTATCCCTCCATTAGCCAAGGCCTCCTGAACAGAGTACTCGACTTTGCTTCAACCTACGACATCACCAACGACGAAGAACCATCATAGCATCATGTAACACATGCAAAACATTCGATCCCTATGCACAAACAGCAACCTTGGCTAAAGAAGGTCGATACAAAATTTGACATTCCAACGGGTAACTACGACGGTGCTAACACATGCGAGCTAGTGGAAAGCCTTTCCTCCTTTCCTCCTTTCCTCCTTTCCTCCTTTCCTCCTTTCCTCCTTTCCTCCTTTCCTCCTTTCCTCCTTTCCTCCTTTCCTCCTTTCCTCCTTTCCTCCTTTCCTAACGGCAAAACCTCAACATCAACATCGGACTTAACCGAGACGACGGACTGGCCATTTCAAACGCCACACCGAGAGAAACAGACAACAGAAAATATGCCGAGGTTTTTTTCGACGAGGCGTCGTAAGAAGTTGTTCCGTGATGGTAGAGGAATATTCGACCATCGCAGAACGATTTCTCACAACGCCTCGTCGAAAAAATCGAGCAATTTCTACGCAGAATGCACTGGAAAGCTTACTTCTTCAATCCTGATACGACCACTCGCTCCGAAGACACATACGACTTCAAGTCTACCAAGAACCCCCCTCGGATCGACTAGTTAAAGGAATTTGCAGATGACATGCTAAAGATGATATTTACAAAACATTTTAAACGTGTAGACTGAACAGTTTTTCAGTTATTCTCAACAGTTTTTTTTTTCGGTTTTAGAGCATTTTTGTTCAAATAAAGGTAATCTACTTTTACTTTTAAAAAGTAAAAATCAAACATTTTCAACACTAGGTAAACATCAACATGAAGATTAAATATTTTAGCCATGTAAATAGCTCAATGGCATTAAATGTTTTGATATTTTTTCCAGTAAATACTTTTAAGAGAAATTATTCCCTATCTGAGATATTAACCTTTTTCTGTCTTTACTTCCATCCATAAATACTGTTAAATGCTCCTAGCTGTTATTCAGTAACTTAGTTTTGGTTAGTAACATATTTTCAATTCAGTTTTGCCACTAAATCCATAACTTCAGTTAAAAGTAGTATTGAATTGGCTGTGGCATGTGATAATGAAACAATACTTAAAGATAGCTAATTTCATTGTTCTCTCCCTTGACCTCAATACATGTTATTATGCTTTAACTTTTTATTTCGGGTGAGGCACCAAGTGCTAAATATATTTCTGTGTACCGTTGCTCTCAGGTAGTTTTCCTGTCCTTCAATTTTCAACCATTGATCTTGAGAAAAAACTAGATGAACTGAGCATGGAGCTTCAGAGGCTCAGAATGGAAGGTGAATGTAAAATGTTTATTGATTCATTATCAGAGAGAAATAAATCCAAGAATGCTATTAAAGGCTTTCACCCCTGTATCAAAATATTATTTTTCAAGGGAAATTGTTCCTTATTTAAAAGAATCTGTTGTCTGATTTTATTACTATTGGCGAATGCTTCCACTCTTTATTCAATTTATTTCTTTTCAAGGGAAACTATTCCTAAGTAAAGATGATCCCTCTTCCTTTATAGTTATTAAGTGAGATTGCTGTCCTATACTTTCAGGCATTATGTAAAGTGTTAGCTTTTATATGAATTTTTTCTTAATTTGTTCTTCCTTATTCTGTGCTTTGGCAAAAGAGAGTATTAAGTTGGCTGTGGCTTATTATGATGAAACAATTTTTCTAAATGGTTGATTTCAACAATGACCATAGGAGATTAATCAGAAAACTGACACTATAATTGTGCTATCACATGACCCCAACACGATGTACAATGCTAGTCAAATGCCTGTTTTTAACCATTTATGTGAAGTAAGGCACTGAATGCTAAATACAGTGTATCCTTCTGTTTACCTTTCCTTTCAGGTACTTTGCTCCCCCCTGAACTCTTAACTGCTGATCTTGAAGAAAAACTAAAAGAACTACTCACAGAACTTGAGAGACAAAGAGATAAAGGTGAGTGAAACATGCGTATTGGCTCCGTTGAACAGGACAAAAGAAATATGGAAAGTGATGCAAGGAAATGGTTGCACTAGTATTTTAGGCTTGTTTTTCTAAGTAACAAGCTGAAAGGTTTTAGTTTGTCGTATAGGACTCCTAATTATATTATCTTCCCTCAAATATCTAAGTCCTGCATGCAACTTGCAAAACATCTCCACCACTCATTACATGTTAAACATGGAATGATCTGTATTTACTCCATATTTAAGATAACCCCTCCTCTCATATAATGCTATCAACCAAGAATACTGTTAAATGCTTTAAACCATTTTGCTACCTTCTCTCAGGTACTTTACCTCCCACTATTTCCACCATTGAAGTAGAACTAGACGAACTACTCAAGAAACTTCAGAAAAGGAGGACAGAAGGTGAACAAATAATGCACATTTAGAGAGAAAATAATTGCTGTTGAATGCTATTAAAATATTTCCAGTTCCTTGTAGAATTACAGTACCGCTCGTGTATACATTAACCAAAAAACGCATGCAAATGCGAATTTAAAAAAAATGTGCGCGTCAAAAAATCGCACGTGCGCGCCAAAAAATCACCGTGCGCGCATAAGCTTGATACGTTTGCCTCGTTAGTAGATATGAGGTAATTCTTTCTGTTTTTCTATTGTTGGCGGTTTACCGTTTTAAAGAATAGACTAAATAGAAAAACGAATAGAAAATATTAGAAATAATAGAATAGAAAAACAAAAGGATTACCTCATATATTCTAAAGAGGCAGACGTATCAAGCTTATGCGCGCACGTGCGATCTTTTGGCGTGCACGTGCGATTTTTTGACGTGCACATTTTTTTAAATTCGCAATTGCATGCTATTTATGGCTACAATGTAACAGGACTAAAATACTACACTGCTACCAACGACAAGAAAACTTGTTCGTTTCAATCACCGTTCAAACCGACCTTCCCGATATGCTGTTACAAACTACTGCGACTTCGTAATCGGAATATATGAATGATTTATCATTTTTCAACGAAATTCTTTTATCAAAATTTGTCACTTCGTATTAAAAAAACATCCGTCACAATGGCTTGAGAATTCGTTCTCAGTGTATTATAATTCGGTAGAATCAGCTAAAGCGTCCGTTTGTAACCAGTTGTCGCATTCTTAATGCAAACCCACGCGTGAATGTTTATTTCATAGCTTTATCATCGGTGAACATGCTATTCTCGAAAACTGGTTTAATCATCGCGCCATTTATAAAAAAACTTGTAAGTTCTACTAGTTTATTTTAATGGTGTTGTGTTACAGTATGGTTACCTGTCACGACTATGTCTTGTTCTTACTCATATGCATATTTTTATTGGAAACCGGATTTGCTTCTTGTTTTAATATTTGTAAAATCATCGAGCGATGTTCACCAAATTGCTCATAAAAGCGAAGGGAAAAATTCAATACAGGATACATTTAGTTCAAGTTTGCATAAGACTCGCAGATGGGTGCAATTGGACAAAACATCAATACGGCGATACTTATGTCAGTCAACACGGTAATCCAGGACTTTTGGAAAATTGGTGGCTTCTAAAGGAGCCGTTTTTTCGTTAAAGGAAGCTGTTACTAGGCTCTTCCTTCGCGTTGGACTACAGTAGAAATAACTTTTCGGAGGTGGCTAATGTATTTACAGCACTCAGCAGCAGTCCCAGAATCCCTGAACCGATAGATGCCGCGACAAGTTCATTCCTTGTTAGTTGGCTTGTCAACGCGACGCAAGAGAATGTTTTCTGTTCGTGTCATGGGAGCTTTAAAGGATTCGTGTCCGGACTTTCAGTAGGAACAGGCCAGTATTTTATGTTATTATCTTCGAATCTTCGTCTTTGACATTGCAATTTACTACAACTTGACCTTTCATTGTAGTAATATATTGCACTCCGCAACCAAACAAATCATCAGGTGCGATGCGAAATGAAACTGTTTACATTTCTGTGCGTAAACGCTGAAGCTAGCGCCGATTGCAATTAATAAAATGAAACATCATTCACAATCTTAAATGGTATTGCTTCTGATCCTCATCGAAGGTGATCGAGGTAAGTTCGAAGTTTCGAGGAAATCATCACCAGCGATGCGAACACCAAATAGTTCACATCCTGCTGCGTAAACATTCAAGGGAACGCTAATTGCAATGAAGAAATTGGGAAGCAATATTAGTGAGTATTTGCTTCGTTACTCGCTTAATTATACGCGTGTTTCGATGCTTTTCGATGTAAGTGACATTTTCCTTTCCAACTGATTTATCCACAACTCAAATCAACCAAATCTATTGCTCCTGCTCGTTCTTCGATAAATTCCCGAACCGATGCGACATGCGTCAGTGGAACATTATAGCTTTTTTCATTACGTAAGTTTTCCGTTGTCGACTCGTCGCATTCTCAAACCTAAAAGTTCTTTGTTTTACACAACGATAAAATACAAAAGAATTTTATAGCACTGAATAACAAAGGCACGTGAGTCGCGCATTTTTTCGACCGTGCGCGCAAAACAATCGTATATGCACG